TGATGCCGTCATCCAGTTGGCGGACCAACCGAAGGCTTCCTCCAGTCAGCCACAAGATGTATCTGATACACAGCCTGTCTAGGTCCAGGCCCAGGTCCCAGCAGCTGAGCAGAAGGATACCAGGAACCAATTTGAGGTTCTCGAGCATACAGAGGACCCAGGGACCGCCCATGATCCAATGCAGACAGACATGGCTTAGGGAGTCTTCATATCCTTTCTCTATTTTATTTTTGGTGCTTATTTGATTTAGTTGGAATTGGGGACAATGCCAACTTTTATTTGAGGGGGTGCGCCCTTTATCTTTGGATGATTGTATATATACTGATTTAGTCTATGCTTTCTTGATTTTCATTTGGTCTGTATATAATCTTACATTTAGTTACTTTTATCGCACTTTTTATCTTTCATTTGGTCTGTATATAAAGTTACATCATTGTATATATTCATTCCCTGTTGTATATTCAATTCCCCTATTGTATATATTCTTTCTATTTTTGCAAAAATTTTCATTTTTAGCTCTTAATTATATTCGTAGCTTTTTGTTTCATTTTTGACGCTTTCAATAAGCCTTTGGTTTTCTTAATGTCACGGTTCTTTCCAAAGGTAGAGTATTGTGTGAACCGGGTGGCTCTTCCCGATGATGGATGGCGTGACAACCTTCTTAAGGGTTTGAGTCCATTTTTGTTTTTGGTAGTTTATAGTTAAGGGTACCTCAAGCAAAGCTTCACTTGGGCCTAGCACATTTGTCTTTGATCCCATGGTCAAAGACAAAATGTTGTGTTTAGGATGGTGAAAGTCGTGACCTTGAGACTTTTGTATTGACAGACAATCATCAAGTGGTCTTTTGGGACCATTGTGTGCTCAAATCGTGTCTAAGGTTGTTGTGGGCCCCCGACTCTATGTCTTTAGCAATCCTTTAGTTTGTGTGGTGAGAAATCGAATTGCGAGTCCAAGTCCCGAGCCATTGGTCTAGAACTTGCCCTGAATGTTTGTGAGGCGAAATCTTAAGTGAAATTTGACTTGAGAAGTGTTTATAGGCTCTCCTTGATCCAAATGATAGTTGAACAACTCCATAGCCTACCAATGATATGATCCCTAGTTAACCCTTTTGAGCCTTAGACCTTTTTCTTTCAATAACCATGATACAAGCCTATACCCGTTCTAAAAGATACCCTCTCTTGGCATCCGATCTTTCCTTGAGCACATGGCAAAAGTATAAGTTTGGGGGGAGAGACGAGGAAGGGAACAAAGTGGCAAAAGGTACAAAAGTGAAGAAAATGAAAGGCAACGAAAAAGAAAGAAAAGAAAAAGACAAAAAGAAAACTCAATGTGAAAAAGAATAAAAAGGGATTCAAGAGAAGCAAAAGAAAGAAAGGTATGGAAAGTTGAAAAGGGAGAAACGTTTTGAATTGCATAAGAAAGAGCAACAATGCGTCTCTCTAACCCCTTAGAAAGAAGTGAGAAGACTCAACGAGTCAAGAAAACTGTGCCAAATCATTCAAAAGAAGTGCTTAAGGGAAGATGGAACCCACTTGAACAAAACATTTCCTACCCTGAACCAAAAGCCTTCACAATGACTCCACAAAAGCCCTATATGATCTTGAGTTAAATGAAGCTTACATTAGTGGATACTTACATAAGGGGCAAGCATATGGTACTTAACGCCGGACTTGAAACCTTTTCTTGAGAGAGATGAATAAATTCCCATTAACCTCGGTTTGTGTGCCAATACTCTAAAAGGTGAGGTTTGCTTAGGGAGAGTTGAGGATGTGTGAGTTTGGGTTCCACAATGACCAAAGTAATTGAGAGAGCTCTTTGATGTAATGAGTCAACTCTTGATGCTCGTGTATCACACTTGATCCATGGTTTTTCAAAGGTTAAATGTTGTTAATGATCCATTTGTATTGGGAGCAATTGTTAGTCCCCATGATGCTAGCTGAGGCTACTTTAGGATAGCTGAAAATACTTGGATTTTCCCTTAAGGGGTGGGTCTTATTTTGTTTGCTTGAGGACAATAAAAAGCTTAAGTTTGGGGGAGTTGATAACGAGGGATTTTGACGTGTTTCATGCTCCGTCTTGCTTACGCTTTGATTATAAATTCTTACCAATAGGCTCATAAGTTGTGCATGATTGCAAGTTTGATCGACAAAGTGATGAAATGTCCAAGATCGGCTCAAAAGGAGTGAAACCTGCTGAAATACCAAAGACAAGGCAAACTAAGGACAAACAGGCCTAGTGCGACTGCACTACACTTTGTGCGGTCCGCACTAGGGGATTCAGAGAACTGGCAAATCAAGCTTCAAGGCAGTGCGGCCGCAATCGATCTTTCGCGGTCCGCACTGAAGGCTCCGCGGCCGCACTACCATTTGTGCGGTCCGCGGAGGAAAATATCAGAGAGATGTCCAGTGCCAACTTCAAACCCATGCGGTCTGCCGTCATGTTTGTGCGGACCGCGCTAGTTGCCTCCGCGGTCGCGGTCCATTCTGCACGGTCCACTGAGCCTGAGTTCAGAGAGCCAAGACTTCAAGTCCTAGAGCCTAGTGCGGCTGCGGTCCATTCTATGCGGCCCGCACTGACCTCGCAGGGGCATTTTTGTCCAGTTTTTCCAACTTAGTATAAATAGAACCTTTTTCTATTTTTAGTGTATCAGTTATTTCCAGAACGAAGCTGCGCTCGTGAGAAGCTATTGTGTAGCCATTTTTGGCATCTTAACTTAGATTTAACGATAGATTCTCTGTATTTACATTAGCTTTTAATTAATATGTTTTGTTCTTCATCTATTTCTCTATTTTCTTCTTCAAGAATGAGTAGCTAAACACATTATCTAGGGTTGTGGCTCAACCCTAGTGTGGGTAATTGATGGGCGTTGCCATCTAGGGTTAGATTGACTATGGGTGTTTGCTATTTGGGTCAATTTTATGGTTTAATCAATGAATTGGTGGTTGCAAACACTGGTTTGTGCTAAGTTGACTTGGCTCTTTTTGAGAAAGAGAGCCTAAGTCTCCAAAATTGACCCAACAAGGAATTGGGATGGACACAAGAGAATTGATAGTCCCAATTAAAGGGTTAAACCTTGAGAGAGTAATTACCCGACTTGAACCCTAGTTGCTTGAGCTAATTTGCCTACCATTTGGTCTCGAGAGAGTCAATTGGGCAAAATCACTCTCTCTACCGAGAGGTGTGAGAGTGGGTAAAATTGTGCAACGGTTATAGAATATTTCCCCAATCATGTCAATCGAGCCTTAGAAGCATTTACCCGTCAATTAGCCACCTAGGTGAAAGTCACTACACTAGTGTCGTTCTACCCATTAGATACAACTCTCATTAGCATAATTTAGTTTTAATTAGTAGTTGATAATATTAGTTTGTTAAATAAAAATCAAAAGATGTTTGGAAGTGACATTTGGAACAATTACACAATCCCAATCTAAATAGATACTCGACTCCATTCCTAGCTCCCTGTGAAAATCGATCCCGACCCACAAATCGGGTAAAAGCTATTGCGACCCTATCTTCCTACCTTTTAGTAGTGCGGAGTAGGTAGCGATCAGGCTACTCTATCATAACCCTAGGTCACTCCTATAAAAAGAGTTACATTTCTCCTTAAAAGGTATATCTCAAAAATGGAGATCATATCGAGAATCCCATAAACTCATGGGATATTCACGAAGAGATCAAGATGCGGCTAGATAGACATAATTTCATGGAGATCAAATACATTCCATGAAGGTTTGCATCATCCTACGTTCGAGAAACACGTTGTTCCCTCGAATCACGAAGATAATCAGGAGAGAAGAATCAAGGGAACAAACAGTATGTTACCCTCATCATTTTATCAATAAAACTATGTTTCTTCATATTTATATTGTGATTGTAATTTATTTTTGTATCACATATAATTTGTTGCAAACACCACTTTTGAAAAAACACCGTGATACATTTTTTAAAAGCTTGGCCAAACACTAATTGTGTTCAAAAGTACTTTTCAAATTAATTAGCCAAATACAAATTGCTTCTCGCTAAAGGTACTTTTTTAAGAAGCACTTTTGAAAAAAATACTTTTTAAAATAAGCTAATTTTAGGAGTTTGGCTAAATGGGATATTAGACTCATGTGGCTAATATAAGCGGTCTGCTTCAACCTCTAAATTAGTGGTGTTCAAACTGAATCGGAAAACCACACCAAACCGAAAAATCAAAACAACCCTATTATGTTTGGTTTGATTTGGTTTGGTATTGAGTAAAAAGAACTCGATCCAAAGCGACATATAAATATATAATATTTATATATACTTTCAAGACTTTATATAGAATTTTCTTTAAAAAAATCTCTAGAAATATTTGGGATTTTCTCATGAACTGGAATATTTAATATAACTATAAAGTGCATTATTTTTATTTACTTTAAATATGTCAAGATTTTTTATGTCTTTTTCGAATTTGAAATAGTATTTCGGTAATTTAAATTTAAATAGAACATATCATTATTTAGGTATCATATTAATTTTTATGTTTAATTATTAAATCCGATTAAACTTTAAAGCGTACATCAACGAAAAATTATTGTTAGATGACTAAGAAAATAACTATCATGTGTTACTAAAATAATTCTCACATAAGATTATTTTAATATATTATATGTTTCTCATTTTTTTTAAATTTTACTAAACTTATATTCACTTATTAAAACTTTATCTATAACTTTAACAAAGTAAGATTGAAATAATATTCATGTAACAAAAAACTCGAAAAACTCGAAAATCTGACAAAACCGAACCAATCCAAAACAAAATAATTGAGTTGGTTTGATTTTGATAAAAAATGAACCGACCCGATCCATATACACACCTGCTCTAGAAGATCAAAACTGCAGCAAAAATCTGCATCAGTAAAATCTCTTCCAAAGTAGTAGTAAAACATCACTGTCTAACGTCGATAATCCCAAGAAGAAGAAAAACAAAGTGTTTTGAGAAACGCACCAAACAACCCATTCTCCTTTAAATTCCACCCCCAAGTAGTTTGGAGCAGCAGCTCCGTGAGATAAATGATACTAATGGAGTACTCCAAGTCCAAGAAAAAATCACAGAACAATCAAATCAACGTGCAGAATCAGAAGCTGATAATGAAAATAAGCTCAAGTAAAAACGGCAGTGGTATTGCTAGTCATGTCATTTTGTTAGGTGGAGTTTTTATCACAGCTGCTCTAGGTTTTGCATTCTTGGTTGAAAGAAAGGGAAGGAAATCCACTCAAAGAATTACAAAGAAAGAGAAGAATGGGAATTTTGAAGATGAATCAAGTAAAGGGCCTCACTTTCTTCTACCTGACTCTTCTCCATGCATAGAGCAGCAGCAACCGTCTAGGTTAGTAATTCAAGTTTCTAATAGATTAAGAAAGTCCTGACAAAGTCATGTCTTATGAAAGTATAACGACAACATGTCAACAACAACTAGTACTAAACTTTTATTTCAATTATTATTCTTGCCGTCCCAAAATAATAGTCCGTTTGGCCAAGCTGTAAAAATCAGCTTATTTTGAGAAGTGCTTTTTTTCACAAGTGTTTTTCTCAAAAGTACTTTTGGTGAGAAGCAGTTTGTGTTTGGCTAATTATAGCCTGTTTGGCCAAGCTTATTTTTGGCCAAAAGCAGTTTTTGCCAAAAATTGAGGTGTTTGGCCAAGCTTCTGGAAGGAAAAAAAGTGTTTTTGAGGAGAAGCAGAAGCAGTTTTGGAGAAGCAGAAAAAAGTAGCTTCTCTTCAAAAGCACTTTTTTGAGAAGCACTTTTGAGAAAAATACACTTAGAAGCAGTTTTTTAAAGCTTGGTCAAACACTAATTGCTGCTCAGAAGTGCTTTTCAAACTAATTAGTCAAACACAAACTGTTTCTCACCAAAAGTACTTTTGAGAAAAGCACTTTTCAAAAAACACTTCTCAAAATAAGCTGATTTTTGCAGCTTGGCCAAACGGGCTATTAGTTTGAAAAGCACTTCTGAGCAGCAATTAGTGTTTGGTCAAGCTTTTAAAAACTGCTTCTAAGTGTATTTTTCTCAAATGTGCTTCTCAAAAAAGTGCTTTTGGAGAGAAGCTACTTTTTTCTGCTTCTCCAAAACTGCTTCTACTTCTCCTCAAAAACACTTTTTTTCCTTCCAAAAGCTTGGCCAAGCACCTCAATTTTTGGCCAAAAGTGCTTTTGGCCAAAAAGAAGCTTGGTCAAACAGGCTATAAGTACTGTCCCTTTTTGCTTTTCGAGAATTTGATTTGACGAATCTTCGAAGCTAATTTAGATTAAATCAACTTAATAGTTTACAATTATAACTTTGGCATTCAAAAACTATACCAAACGTGCTAGTACTCCATAAGTTGCAATTCAAAAATACATTTTAAAATGTTGGTCAAAATTCACATAGTTCAAAACTTAGAGAAGCATACACATAATTAATTTGAGACAGAAAGAGTAATTGACATTGCTCATACAAGTCTTATTCTTCCATTATGTCCTGCTCATAACAAATTGGGCATTGATTCTAAGAGGTTGTAGCCTTTTTATTCGTATCCAGCTAATAGAATGTCAATCGATTTTAAATTTCAGCAATGGGGTAGAGAAGTTGTCTGTCAATGATTCCACCTCCTTGTTCTCCACTCCATGCTCGATCCAGGTATATTTGCAATCTCATTCCTTTGGGGAAAAAAATAAAAATAAAATGAGTGCATTTAGCATGGTCCAAGAATTGAGAAAAATCACAATCTTTTGAACAAGGTTGAACATATTTTAAGTGAAAAAATAGCATCACAACTTGATATCTAATAAGACTAGCAATTTGGTCCAGGATGAGAAGCCTAAGCTTGAGAGAGGTGATGAAAAAAGGGACTCCCAAAATGCTATAGCCTCTAATCATCCGAAAGAAGAAGAAGAAGAAGAGTCTCCATCTTTTGAAAGATTGCCCATTGACAAGGAAGAATTGGAGTCATTGGACACAAAGATATCATTGCTCCCTGATCCTGATCAAGAACCGAATGAGGTTTCCAAAGTAGGAATTGAGGTAATCCAAGGAAATGAGAAAACTGAGGTAGCTGATGTGCATCAAGCTCTAGCCACAATAGTCTACAACCCTTCTCAAGTGGATAATAAAATTGAATTCTTGATTGACGAGAAACATAATGATAAAGGAGAAGTAAGTGAGCTGCAACATACTGGCAAAATTGACAAAGATAAACATAAAAGGGATCTAATTCAAGAACAAGAGAAACAAGAAATTTTCAACCCTGATGGTTCTTTACCAGAGAGCAGCACTTCCTGTGAGCAACAAGTCTTACCAGTACAGTTATACAATCTGCCCCTTTTCGAGCACGAAAATCTGACCTCTGACTTTGATCAAGAAGATCAAGTCGTTGAAGCTATTGAATTTGTAAAGACAGCTAATGAAGATGAGGATAAAGACCATAGGGAGAGTTTGTATTTTGAAGAACAATGTACTGATGCAGAAATTCAGATTGATCAATTTGCCAAGAAGCGCAATCTACAATTGCAATTTAGTGATGAAGAAGAGTGTTCCCAGGAGATTGATCAAGTGAATTCCTGCTATGAGGAGGTAATATTAGAAAACAGCCCCTTATATTTAGGAGCCTCTGAAGTCAGAAATGCCTCAGACCAGCATTCTGCTGAAGTAATTCAAGTGATAAAAGAAACAAATGCAATGGATACTGCAGCTAGCGGAGAACATAGCCTAGAAGCAGTGCATTCACACATTCAGTTGGTTGAGAAGCAAAGTTTTGAACACGATTGTCAAGGAAATGGGTCAGAGGACGACATTGAGGCCTCAGAGACGCTAGCTATGGACGCTGTAGTAGTGGAGAAGGACCTGGAAGCGCGAAGCAGAGAAGTGAAGGATGAAGTAGAAGAGAGTGTTTTTGTTCATGAAGAAGAAGAAGATGTTGACAAAGATGATGTCGCAGAGGAAGTTGAAGATGACATCTCGGAAGGAGCAGAAAACTCCTCCGAGCAATCCAACAGTAAAAAAATTTGGCCAGCTGACTCAAACCAGGAACTTTTATTGAAACTTAAAGAGAAGAAGGTGAAAGAAGAGGAAGAAGGAATGAAAACTGAAGATGAAGAGACATGCTGCAATTCGAAAAGCACTTGGAATGAGTTCGACATAACAAGTTGCCAACAGACTAATGATGGCAAAGATGATTCTGTAGTGAATGTTACTGAGAGGTACCGAACGAAGCTCATGAACCTGGATGATGTAGCTGCAATCACCAGGGGAAGGAGAGTGCTTTTGGGAGGACTACTAGCGCTAATCTGGTACTTGTGCTTAAAAGCATTCTCCCTTCCCACATTAGCGGATTCAAAGTTTTAAATCAGGGAACACGATATACTACTGAACTTACTAAGATAATAAGTGTCAGACCAAAATTGAATAAATAAATATATGTATAGTTGGATCTCCAAAGGAATGATGCATGTCCGCCAGCTGCGATGTAGATCTTGTGGGGTCCATCCCATAAACATTTCTTTCTTTTTTGTGTCAAATTCGGTAGGCGTGCAGAAGGCAATGTCAAATGTAGTAGGCGAGGCTCTGCCAATAAAATGAGAGCTTCGGCTCTCATTTTATACACCAATCTCAGAGGAAAAATATATTTGAGAGTTAGAAAGAAAGAGTGAGGTTTGACAGACAGGGTATAAGAAAATTGTTACGCCCCGCATTATTACGTCGATATTGCGCTTTGCAGTACTAAGTTATGACAGTGTTGCACCCAGCAGTATTACATTACGGTGGATTTATGCTTTGCACTATTAAGTTACGACGATGTTGCACCTTGTAGTATTGTACGTTAGATTTGTCGTAAGGTAATTGACATCAGTCCAAGTAAAAGATTACTTGGAGATTATAAGGATTACGCTATTTATACAAGCGATAAATAAGTGTTATGAAGGATAAATGGGTACACAGATTAAAGAAAACGAGTTTCGTTGAAAGTGGACAGTTTGAAATAAAATACGGGTCGAGCGATAATACCCGATAATTATGAACTAGTACCATTCAAGGTGCCATGTGACCATGGTAGTATAATATATAAAGTATATATGAAGTATTTTAAAAATAAATAAAATTTTAAGTAATTTGTGGTAATTTTTAAATTATACGGGTACTTGATTAATTATCGAGTAACATGACATTACCTAGTTAACTAATAAGTAGATAAAAAATTAATATCCCACCCCCACCTCACGTGGCAAGAATCCACAATATTGGAAATGACTAAGCCATCACCATTGCCAAATGGCTAACTAGAAAGATGACTAATGTACACATTTAATTCTTATCTTAGCAAAATAAGACTTAGAAAGCAAATTCAATATAAAACACACATTCTGTCTTTGGTAAAACCAAAGACATTAGGAGCAAAACCTTATTCCATCAAAGCCAAAAAAACATGAATCATTCCAAAGAAATTCAAGGAACCTAATGCAGAATTTTATTCCATCAAAGCCAAAAAACGTGAATCGTTCCAAAGAAATTCAAGGAACCAGATAAAATT